ATGTCTTGATCTTGCTTAGAGCTTTCTCACTATAAATATTAAATAAATCAGGGGACAAAATACAACCTTGTCGGACACCCTTCTGGATTTCAACCCTATCACCCACTTCTCCATTTAATCTGATGGCAGCTTTCTGATCCCAATACAAGTTTCTAATCAGCCTTAGATCTTTCCCATCAATTTCCATTTCTTCCAATATCTTAATCAGCTCTTCATGCTTTACACAGTCAAATGCCTTCACATAGTCTATAAAGCAGATATATAAGTCTGTTTGTTTTTCTATGCACTTTTCCATTATTGTCCTTAAGCATAAAATTGCATTTCTTGTCCCTTTTCCTGGTCTATAGCCAAACTGTTATCTGAGATATTTTCCCTGATAGGTTCTTTTATACGATTTAATACCCCTCTTAAAATAATCTTTGTAACATGGCTCATCAAACTTATAGTCCTGTGACGTTCACAAACTGTTGTCCCAGACTCTTTAGGTAAAGCTATGAAAATTGATTCCAACATTTCTTCAGGAACATTTTCTGTGTTTTCTGCATTGTATACAATGTTTGCTATTTCTGTGATCTTTTCTATTCCAAAATCATCTAACGCATTAACTAATTCAAATGCGATGTTATCACTTCCCGTAGCTTTTCCACTTTTCATTTGATCCATTGCATTTTTTATTTCTTTTGATGTTATTGCTCTTCCCTCCATCGGCTTTCTTATTACTGGTCTTTCTTTCCTTCCATCATCAGCATAGAGACCCTTTATGTAATACTGCTACCTCATCCATCAGAACTAAGCCATCTTCATCTTTAATACAGCTAGTCAGATTTTTTTTTCTTTTGTATGTAATTTGTCTAACTTTATCATGCATTATTTGTACATCCTTCTTTTCAAGATCTTCAATTTCTGCACAACATGCGTCCAGATACTCTTCCTTTGCTGTTTTACACATCTTTCTAATTTCTTTATTCACTTTGTTATACTTTCCTTGATTACCTTTTGCTAACCTTCTCTCTTCCATCTTTTCCAGTATCTCACTAGTCATCCATTTATTTTCCAAGGTCTTCTTCTTTTTCGGTATACACTGCTCTGCTGCCTTCATCAATGCATTCTTTAAAAACTTCCATGCATGTGTATCTTCAGATGGTGACTTTCTTTGATATTGATCTTTAAAATTTTGGCAAAAATTTTTCTTGATATCATTTCCACTTTTCAAAAGTTTTAATTGAAATTGATTAGTAACATTTTTCTGCTTTCTTCGATGAACTTTC